GAGTCAGTAAGACTGGTTCAGGACCGGGCAAGCTTCAGAGCTGTTGTACATATGTTCACTAAGAGTACCAGGCAACTTGACAGCAAATAACAATGATATCACAACTCAAAGACATCAATTTTTCTTCTGTAATTTTTATTCATTGTCCAACACTCAGATGCATAGTAAGGGACTGAGAAGACTATGGCCTGAATCAGACACACTTTAGTCTTCAAATTGACATGATTGCTATTAAGTATTGTGGAGTGGTCCGTGACATCAGATTTACCTGATGCAGTACATCCCCTTGTCTCCTGACTGCTTGTACCAAGGATGTTGATTGTTAATCTAAACAAGATAAAATCACTAACAACCTCAATCCTTATCTATCATGATGTTGCCTATTGGTCTACTTCTAAAGGCCTTTATATTTTCGATGTTGAGATTTAGTCAATATCGAAGGCTATATAGTCCCTGATCTTCAGCAGCATGTGTTTCAAATCCTCATCCATTTCAATAAGCAAAGTTGTGTAATCTGCATAACACAGGTTGTGATGAGTCTTCCTCCAATCCTGATGTTACATTCTTTTTCATAGAGTTCAATGTCACAAATTATTTGCTCAACATACAGATTGAACAGGAATAGAGAAAGGATGCATCCCTGAAATACATGTTTCATGATGTTAAATTATATTTCTGAAATATTAGCTATGTATAAAAGTTAATGAGTAGGAAAAATATTTTAGTTAGTACTAAATATTAAAACACTATGCCAAACCAACAAATACAACAGTGGAACTGTATAGATAATCTTAAAAGACATTGTGGTACATATAAAGAACTAATAGGTAATAAAAGCAGACTATTAAATAGTAAAGAAAGATGCTAAATTTGGATAAATGATGTCAAGACCATTCATTAGCCACAATAGAGGCCTTCCTTCCAAATACATTGGACTAGCACTTGATTAGTTATTTCTGAGAGAGATGGAAGGTTAAAGAAAACTTTAACCTTTGCCCATCTTTCTCCCTCAGAGCAGCTGGTGAATTCAAACTGCATGCCTTTGGGTTGAAAAAAGTATTTGCTAAAATTCACCAAATATTCTTTCTTTTTAAAAAAGTTATTCTTTAGAATATTCTTATGTTGAAGGATATCTGAAATCTCCTGAAAGGTAGCTACATATAATAAGGGTAGCTAATATAGAGTTAGCTCTACAGCAATCTCATATTTAATGACAAAATGTTCACAGATTGTTTATCACCAGTTGTTTTGTATCAGAGTTCCTATATCATTCAGTACAGCAAGAAAATAAATATTTAAGGACTAAATATTAAGAAAGACAATTTAATCATATCTCTTGTTCTGTGTGCAGGTTCCATTGAATTCTGGAATTCAGTGTTGTGAGATTTCCATTATTCACAATATCATCCCTAATTCCACACACTTGAATACTTTCCTTTGCACAGTTAATAAAACAGAGATAAAAATCTCTTATGAATCCAGCTTGAATTTCAGGAGCAGATGCACTGTTAAAAGCTTTTCAACAAAATTTTTGACAAAATTTTACATTGCTATAGTAGTAATGATATTGCCAAATAATTTCTTCATTCTGTTCAATCACCTTTCTTTGGAATGGTCACAAATATCCATTCCAGTCCGTTTACTAAATAGCTGCCTCTTTCAAATTTCTTGGTATAAACAGAGTGCAATCACTTCTGCATTCATTAGGTGAAAAAACTCAGTAAATATTCCATCAATTCCTGGATCCTTGTTTTTGGCCAACGCCTTCAATAGAGTCTAGATGTCTTCCTCTACTACCATCACTTCTTGATTAGATGCTACTACCTGAGATGAGCAAATATCAGCCTATTATTTTTAATATAGTAACTGTATATTTTTCTCTTTTATGTTTCCTGTATCATTCAATATTTTGCCTTTGCTGTTGTTGTTGTTAGATGTTGTTGAGTACAACTCGTAGCAACCCTATGAACAAGAGCTCTGAACCCTATCCTATCCTGTACCATCTTCACATTTCCAGATACATTAGAATCCACTGCAGCAGTCACTGGGTCATACCACCTAATCGAGGGTCTTTCTCTCCTTCGTTGACCCTCTATCCTTCCAAATATCACATACCTCTCCAAAGAATAGCCCCTCCTAGTAACATGCCCGAAGTATGTGAGGCAAACCTTCATCATCCTTGCCTCCAAAGAGAACTCCTGCTGTACCCCTCAAAGATATATTTGTTTGTTCTTTTGGCATTCAATGAGATGTTCAGTGCTCTTCTCCAATACCACAGCTCTCAGATGTATAGCAAGTGATCAGAAATATCATAGCCTGAATCAGATGCACCTTAGTCCTCAAACTAACATCAGTACTTCTCAATAATTTAGAGAGGTCCCTAACTACAGACTGTCCCAGTGCAATACATCTCCTGGCTGACTCCTGGTATCAAGCGTGTGAATTGTGGATCCAAGCAAGATGAAGTTGCTGACAGTTTCAATCTCTTCTCCCTCCATCATGATATTGTCTATCAGACCAGTGGTAGGAATCTTTGTTTTCTTTTTTTTTAATTTTAATAATTTTAATGAACATTTACAAA